CTACATATATACTATATATATATATATATATGTGAGTGTGTACGCGCGCGCGTGTGAGAGAGATAGAGAAAAAAAAATTATATGATTTTCAATTTTTATAAAATTTACAGACTTAATCTATGAATTATGAACTTTTAATTAAACTATTAAATCATTGAAATTTGATGTATAACATGAATTATTTAGTAAACCAAGTCTTGGTAAACTTATTCAATTTAATAACTTATGTTTTATATCAAATTTTAACGATCAAATTATTAAATTAAAAATTGTAATGCATAGATGGAGTCTGCAAATTTTTACAAATTTTAAAAATCATTTGATACTTCATTTCATTAATTTAAAGTAGCTTATAAATTGTTTTTAATACTTCCTCGTGTGTATATATACATATATGTGTGCGTGTGTGTTTATTTGAACAAATGAAATAAAGTACCAAATGATTTTTAAATTTTTTAAAAATATTTGAAGACTTTACTTATGTATTATAAACTTTTAATTTAACGATTTAATCATTGAAATTTGATGTATATATAACATAAATTATTAAATGGATAAAGTCTAGGTAGACTTGTTCTTAAAGGTGGGGAATACGTCTCAATTATGCACACACATATACAATAATCCATATTGCAAAACATAAATCATAAGTTGTTAGTCAAGAAATTACTATGCACAAGTTGTCTCATAACAACTTCAAAACAAAACATTGTCATTTCTAGCATGACTCTCAAAGAGCAACTCAACCTCTTGCCTAAACTTATTTTGTTTCCATAATACGATTATTGTAATCCAATAGCAAAGTAATACAAGAGCAAGCTCATAAATAATAAAGTGATACATAATATAAAAGTAAGATACGACTATATTAACAATTTCTTCATATCAACACTATAACAACTAGCTTATTTTCGTAAGACACATGAATCAGTTCAACAACTCAAACTTCATATCAACACCATACATATCACTGTGTCAACATAACTACGACCCAGTGCCCATCTTAACAACACATTTAATCATATAGCATAAATTAACAACTTAACATCATTTTCAACTTAGTATATAAACAACACAGTTTATCAATAACTTAGCAACAAAATAACTATACAACATATCATCTCACAACACAACAATTTAGTAGCACAATAACATAATGTGTCGTCACACGTTCCAACTAAGATTTTTCACAACACAGGTGAGTAGTCTAAGTGACTTGACCCTATCAAACCAACTTAACACCACAATCTCCTTAGACTTGTTAGATCAACAAAAAATTTGGTTATCAATTCACAACAATTATTTTTTTGAATTTGCCACTTAAAATAGAAAAGCCTAGTACTAGTTGTCAAGAATAATATAGCTTGGGTATGAGTCTGTCGTGACTCGTGATATTGACATACATTAACCAAGTCACCTATATGTATAATCCACTAACTATCATCGCGATACCATGCACCTTTCTAGTAATCAATTAAGGATTTTGCCCATCAACTTCATATCTTGCTTAATTTTGTTGCTTATAACCAATTTGGCTTGGTCTATCTATACAATATAAACTAAAGATTTAGAGAAGACTCAACACTTGTTACACTTCACTTGAAGAGTCAATAAAGGTTTTTGTAGGTTCTTAAAGAACCATAACACATTCACATGATAGGATATTTAAACTTTTAAAAATATTACCTTTCGTCTAGTTCGAAGTCTACAACATAGGACAATTATATGCACCAAGCATCTCATCAAGATATTTCAACATTACAACATTCCTCAAACATAACACAACAACATACTACACACCCACCTACTTCTCATACATTCACAATACAACGTACAACAACATGTTATTAACATTCAATTTAGCATACTCATGCCCAGCATGATAGTTTCAACTCAATCCTTTTGCACCCCGATGTCAATGAGATAAAGAGTATCCTTCTAAACAGCACTCGACACTACCAAACTTAAGTTTGACGTCATCTAGGTTGGGAGCCACTAACTTGATCATGCTCGATCTCACTTAAAATGGCCCGACACCACCAAGTTAGAAGGCTCCCAAGGTAATACACTCGATGCTCCTCAATCCATATGTTGACATAATCACGTTAGAAAGCTCCTAATTGACTCACGTATGGCGCTAGCTATCTCGCGCCCAACGTCAGATAAGAAAAGTGCCTCTGACTTGCATCGCGATTAGCACCATGAAGTTGTGCCTGATATGAAGGAGATTTTTGTAATAGGTAGAATCACAATTTGGCTCTATCACTTGCATTTCTCCACCACATCCAAATTGCAACCCATAAAACAACAATTATGCACTATAAGCAACTCAAATGTAACAAAATTTTCAACATGCAACCAATAAGAGTTTCAAATCATCATATTCCCTTTAATCCATTCAAAAACAACCAAAACTCAAAACATAAGAGTTCCACTTCTCAATTCAATCAACACAACCACATTTTGGAAGAATTTAGACAACAATTAGCATATACAACATAACAATAATCAATGCACAAGTTTCCCTTAACTCGAATTGATCAAAAACAAGAAAAAGGTAAGAAGAATGCATGAAGAACACAAACTCTCGGCATC